AAATCGTGGTGTGGTCTGCCGTGCTCCTGGGTGGTCTGCCGTGCTCCTGTGGTCTGCCGTGCTCCCCACAGGAGCACGGCAGACCGCGCGTAGGAACCGAGAGGAGCACGGCAGACCAAGACGAGGAGCACGGCAGACCAGGCTTAGGAACCGAGAGGAGCACGGCAGACCAAGACGAGGAACACGGCAGACCAGGCACCAAGAGCGCCCTCAAGACGACGGGAAGGATGACCAAGACGAGGAGCACGGCAGACCAAGACGAGGAGCACGGCAGACTATGCCCTAAGAGTGCCCTCAAGACGGCCGAACAACGGCAGACCAATAGGAGCACGGCAAGGACACAGAAGAAAGCACGGCAGACCAAATGGAGCACGGCAAGACAACACAAGAGCCGGCAGGCCAACAGGAGCACGGCAGACCCCACAGAGTCAGGGCAGGGGGGGGTGCAGACCACAAAGGAGCACGGCAGACCACACAGGAGCACGGCAGACGCCACAGGAGCACGGCGGAACCCACAGGAACACGGCAGACCACAGAGGGGAAGGCAGACCAACAGGAGCACGGCGGACCAGACAAGAGCACGGCAGGCCACACAGGAACACGGCAGAACACACAGGAGCACGGCAAAGCATTCAGGATCAGTGCAGGTCGCAGGGGCGCCGCGTATCACAGGAGCACACCAGACCAACACGGTCCATCAGCACGGCAACGCCAGGAGTATAGCAGAGCACAGGAGCGCGCCTTCATTTTTTTCCAGTGCGCAATGCCGTGGGTGCTCTTGATAGCCCTCGACGATTAAAGTCGCTCTCTCACGTGCTCTATGTTGTTGGCACATGTTGTATTGGGCTCAATGTGGTTGCAAAGCTGCGGCAGGGTGTGCGCGGTGGAGGTGCTTCTATTAGCCCTGTCAGATCCAACTTTCTAGTAGGTGATCCTCGGGGCGATTCTTACCGATGTTTATTTTCGGCATGCTCCGACTGGCGTTCTATATGATGTTCTGTGCTCCTCTTGTTTGTCGAGTGCGTGCTGCTAAGACGATCAAGTATTGCAAAGGGTATCACAAGACCCGCCGTGGTGAGGAGCCCCCCAAGGCTCAGTCCGGTTATGACGGTTACTGCAAGTCTTGCTACAAGGAGAAGCATCCTACTCTGTACCGCCAGAAGCAGGAGAAGAGAAAGGGATGTTGTCGATTCTGCGGTGCGCAGCGCGAGCTCAGCGGTGGCATGTGTAAGCCGTGTTATCGGTCTCGCAGCTGCCCTGTGTGTACCTGGTGCAACGAGGAAGACGAACCAACGCTGTGCGTGGCCTGCGAGTCACGCGAGAAGCACCCGCAGGCCGCGGGAAAAAGATGTGCTATGGCGTGTCCGACGCACACTTCGCCTGAGGAACGCAATCTCAAGCTGTGCTCCGAGTGCTTTACATCTTCGATCCCTTGTTCGCACTGCGCTGCGCCGACTCCTGCTGGCTCCTGGACTCGGTCGAAGTGTAGCAACGAATCTTGCGACGCATCAGCGGAGTTCTGTAGCGCGTGTTCTGGCATGTCTAACGGGCAGTCGAAAGCGAAGTGCCAGTCGTGCTGGGCCCAGGACGGTCGGTGCTGCGTGCACTGCGGTCGGATGCGAGCGCAAAGTGGAGTGATATATCGGCGAGCTTGCAAGGCCTGTTTCGCTGCGCGCTCGTGCGCCGTCTGCCACGCTGTGCCGCCGGCGTCGCTGGAGACCCCGCAGTGCGAGATGTGCGACAACCTCGCTTTGTGGTGTCCTCAGTGCACAACGCCAGAGCAGCGGGCGGCGGGCCTGTGTAAAACACATTGGGATTCCCCCGAGTGCGCATTCTGTTACAGGACCGAGGACTCCGCCACCAAGGAACCGCTGCAGGTGTCCATGATCGAATGCGGAACAGAGAGCTGCACCAAAGTCGTGAGGAGCTGCTCTGTGTGCTCGTCGCATTTCAAGAAGAGCGCGGCGCTGTGCGACGCGTGCTGGAAGGCAGCTGGCTCCAAGTGCATCGGATGCTGTGTCAAACCAGCCCAGACCTCCAGGGTATATCAGCACTTTTGCCGGAAATGCTTCGGGGAGGAGAGGCTGGCAGACCTCGTCCGCGACGAGAGCAGGAAGTTCCTCGCCGACGAGCCGCGACCGCAGAGGCTCGACGACGACGTCGCCCGATCCGCACCCGCTTTGCAGGTACTCCTCGCTCTGGCAAAGCCCGAGCCCGGGTCCTTGCCGATGTACGCGGAGACGCCCGAGTACCTGGACCCGAACCATTGCCGCTTCTGCAAGCAACCGTGGGGTGGCTCCGACGACGACGACAAGCGACGGCATCTGCTCGAGGAGTGCAGGCTTGATCTCCATCAACGAGACGGCGAAGACATTCTCCAGACGTACCGGAGGTCAGTGCTCGAACGGGCGCGCGCAGAGGGCCTGGACGCGGTCAGTCCGCAGGTGGGCAGGTTTTGTGTGGCGCAGTACAAGAATGCGCAGACGGACGAACGCTGCGTCCATGATGCCTGTGCCGTCTGCTGTCGAAAGACGCCCAAGTGCGACTTGAATCGAGTTCACATCCCATCGTCGAGCAGCGACAAGTGCCCGGAGTGGTTATCGTGGTCCGAAGAGTTTTGGAATGAGAACAAGGAGGCGTGGTACGAGCAGGTCGACAAGCTCCTCAGCATTGAACAGTACTTGAAAAAGTTTTTCAAGGTGTCTGAGCGAGCCCAGAAAGCGCGAGAGAGCGTGGAGGCGTGCAGCCGCGGGGAGCCGCACGAGCTCGGGTTCACGAAGGTGGAGGACGCAAAGAACTGGGTCGACCGCGTGCGCCTATGGGAAGACAATCTGAGGAGAGACATGCGGGAGCACTCCGTTGTCTCTCCAGGTGGCGCTCTCTCTCGTTGTCCCAGCTTCTGTTGTCGTGGTGCTCCTGTGGTCTGCCGTGCTCCGGTGCTCCTGCTCCTGCTCCTGTGGTCTGACGTGCTCTTATGCCCACTCGTGCTGTGTTGCTGTGCCGTGATCGTGTCTGCTGCCGTGGATTGCGAGCTATAGTCGTCTGCCGTGCTCCTGCTGTCTGGCGTGCTCGGCCCCCGTGCCCACGTTGGCCGGGAAAGTTGTCATGTTGTCTTGTGCGCACCCCAGGTGATCCGAATCATCGGTGGGTATTGTACAAGTCCGCAGTATGCACGGATGCGCTCGAGGGCAGCGGCGGAGATCTTCGCGTGAGCATGTGCAAGGAGTGCGCCGAAGCATTGTCGAACACGCTCACAGACAGCCGCGGGCGGTGCCGCCCGCGGCTGCGCATGCCCAGCGAGGCTCTCGCGAATGGCATGTGGCGTGGTCCTGACCCGGAAGAGCTGACGAACTTAACGTACACCGAGTGCAAGGTGATCAACCTGGCGAGGGCGTACGTCAGCGTGAAGCGCGTGTTGTTGGACAGGGCGTCTTTCGCCAGGACGAGTGCCGACGAGGCGCCGCGCTATCGCCAGAAGAACGTTGTTGCGTACCCGCAGAGCCCCGACGCGGCTCTGACTGCCATCGGACTGTCGCCGATGGCCCTGGCGCACACTCTGATCGTCCAGTTCGTGGGAAGCCGCGCTGACGGTATCTGGCATCATCCTGACTTGCAAGTTTCCGTGGTGCGACTTCGAGCAGCATTTCGTTGGTTGTGCTCCAGCAGCTGGAACCACATGGAAGCCACGCGACACCATGCCGCATGTGCGGATTCTGGCTTACTCCACGAGTCGATCGAGGAGTTGCTGGACGCGTACGCGACGAGCGTTGGTGGATCCTCGGGCGTTCCGCGCGAGCTCGTCGACTCGGCGACGACGATCAGCGGCTCAAGAGCTTCGGTGTAGTCTATAAAGGACCAGCTGACTGCACGGAAGAAGGTGAACGCGACACGGAGGAGAACGGGCCCGAGGAGGCGGAAAACGCCGCCGTCGTTAACGGCGGTTTAGCAGACGTCGACTCCCTCCAGCTGTGGACACAGGTCATCAAAAACTTCAAGGCGGCACAGCGGTTTAAAGAGGAATTGGCAGCTCTAGACCCCGCCGACTTATCTGCTCGCGCCGAGAAGAAGAGAATGCACGGTGTGAGCATGGCCCAGGCCATCGAAGACCTGGAGAAGCTGTCGAATGAGAAGATGCGAAAACGTTTGGAAGAGTGGGCGCGGTCGGAGACCGACGACAGGGCGCCCTTGAAGATCACGCACGAGACCACGTTCTTGTCTGCTCGCACGCCGAACTTTTGGGCGTCCTGCTTCGTTCGGTTGTTTCCTCGGGGAGACTGTCAGGAAACATGCCCAGAACGTAAAGCGGGGGATAGTACCGTATCGTTCTTGTCTTCCAATAAGTGGATCCAGTGCTTACTTAAACGAGCAGATTGTGATTACTGGCGGAAGGACCTGGAGTTCGTCGCATCCGTGGTCAACATCTTTATGCGTCGAGATCAAATGAGTAAGGTGGAAGCGTGCATGAGGGAGACGCCCGGCGGCGGCTTCATGGGCATAACTCCCGATGAGATGCAAAGGGTGAACGAGATCACAGCGGAAGGTTTGGTTGCCGCCGCGATCGCGATGGGAGGTGATGCGAAGGGCATGAGCGATCTTCTGAGGAATAAAAAGTTGACCCAACCAGTCCGCACAGCCGCTGAAAAAATGCAGGCCGTGTCCCGGAAAGTGCGTGGATCTGCCGAAGAGCGGGACTCGTACAGGTGGAATTTTCGAGCTCTTCAGATAAACTCGGGCTGCTCGACTTTGTTCTTTACGCTGAATCCCCACGACATTCGCAGTCCGCTAACGGTGCTGCTGGTGCAGGACGGCACGGAGATGCAGAGGCGATTCTCCCTGGACATGAGCGACAAGGAGGCGGAAGACTGGATGAAAAAATTTCAAGCAGAGCACCCTCGTCTTCTCCACCGCCGCGTGGCGCAAGACCCTTACTATGCCCAACATGTTTTCCACTCGACCGTCAAAGACGTGTTGCGCTATATATTCAACTGCGCCGATGGACCTTCGAACCTGCCTCCGGATGGCATCGCGGCGAGCGAGGTGCCGGGTGTATTCGGGTACGTACGCTCCTATCTCGGGGTTGTTGAGGAACAGATGCGGAAGGCGCTGCACATACACATGCTCGTGCAGATTCTTGGCTTCTCGCATCCCGACGATATCTTCCAGAAGAACTCTTTCCTCGACGAATTTAAGCGTCTCTACTACTATCACGCCTCAGTCATGTTCCGCAGCCAGGAAGCCGTAGCGCATCATTTCGCCGTTCCTAAGGCGATGAGAACCACCGCCGGGCTGCCGTTGTTCCCGGTGACTCTGAAGCAGCGGAGCATGATCGGCAGCGCTCGCGTTGAGGAGAGCAACCTCGCGCAGACCGTGGCGCGCGGACTCGACGTGCCGCCTGCTCTATCCAGGAGCGTGCCTGAGTATCCCTTCTTCGTGGGTTCGTATCACGGCGACGAGAACGTGTCCGGTAGCGACTGGGGCAGCCGCGCTGTTGTTGAGATTTTTTCAAGGAGTCGCAAGACGGGCAACCACGTGTGCAAGCCGTCCGTCTGTCACAAGGGGCGTCTCGGAAAGCGTGGTTTTTGCCGCATGTTCTATTGGCATCTCGTGAAGGTGGTGGACCCGAAGACGGGGCGCCTCGTCGCCAAACGACAGCATGGCTTGCAGCTGCATCCTCGATGGGATGGCGTTGGGCCTCCGCCGATTCTAGGGTATCCACACGTTGGGTTGCCGGCTCTGGAGACGACGCACCAGTGGCACTTCAAGCTTTCCTACCCGATCATGCTCGGCCCGCAGTGCAATCACGACATCCAAGTGCTCCCGCGGTTGTGCGCTCTGAAGAGCAGCAGCCCAGACGCCGTGCCCGATGAGGCAGAGGTTGCCACCGCCAGAGCGGGAATGATAGAGCAGCAGGCGGCGAATGAGTTTTACTGTTCGTCATACTCTAGCAAGTCCGCGCCGCACGCGGAGGGACTCGTGCTGACTCTTGCAGTCTCGCTCCATCAGAAAGAGCAAGACGCGAAGGAGGCTGCTGGCCGCGGCGACGAGCCTGAGAGCGTGCACGAGAAGGCGAAGCGGATTCTCCACAGGCTGTTGTCGGCGACGAACAACAGGATGCACACAGGGTTTCCAGAGATGCTCAGTTACCTGCTTGAGGAGCCGACCCTGTACTCTAGCCACGAGTTCGTTACCGTCTTGACGCCAGGCCTCAGCATGCTGATCTCGAAAAGGTTGAGCGAGGTCGCAACCGGTGCAGAGACGAGTGGACCCTCCACTGCCGCGCGTCCGTACTCTTCGAAACTCTACCGAAGGCCGTTCCTGACGGAGTACGATTACCTCTACCGCCCCGACGAGCTGGAGGATTTCCCATTGTACTTTTTCTTCGCGGCTTGCGAAGCTCGGCAAGCTCGCCCTGTCGGACATCGCCCCGTGAACACTCTGGCGTGGCACGTCGCGGCCGACGGTAAGCGTCAGTTCTCTGCAGAAAAGCTATACAGCCGGGAGCACGAAAAAGTGCCTCTGCGCGGAGATCCTTCGGAGCATCACCCCCTCGGGCCTGAGCTATACAAGTACGCGTACTACGTGACCGTCCGCTTGAGCATCGCGTGGCGGATACCTGTTCTTCGCGGATTTCTGCCTCCGTGCCCGGAGGCAAAGAAAGACGGAGATGACGAAGCTAAGAGATTAGAAGACGAGGTTAAGTACGCGGTGTACGTGCAACTGCTCTTTCGACCTTTCCGAACAGTGGAGGACGTGCTGCGTCGCGCCCCGCCCGCGCCGTGGACGCACATACCTGCGGAGTACTACGGTGCATTTTTGAATGAGTTCGAGGATTGGCGCAGCACTCAGGAGTCCATCGCTTCTCGAGCACGTAGTGATACGCCACCTCTCAGCAAGGAATGGTGGGCTTGTCGCGTGTGTGAATGCCTGAGGAATTACGACCTCGTCGCAAAGCGCCTCGTATCGGTTGTTGATCGTGTGCCGACAGGGGACGCTCTCCGTGGTTATCCCGACGCCGCTGCCGATATCGATGGCCCCGATCCGAACAGGGCCGACGACGAGGAGATGTTGATGGAGTCCGATTCGGACGAGAGTCGCGGCGATGCTGCGATGGAGGACGATGCCCCCAGTGATGCGGCAGTTCCTCGCGCGTCGGGTCGCGAAGCAGATCCAGTCAGCCAGCTTTGCGGAACCGTGGAGATTGACTTGAACGAACTGGTCAACTCGGATACTCTGGCGAAAAGCAGATCCAACGAGGCAAAATATCTCCGTGGCTTTATCGAAGAGGAAAAGAAGTGCGTTTCGGGGCGCACAGCTGCCGCTGACGGCGACGGTGCGTTCCAAGAGTGCTCGTTGTCAGCACGAAAGTCGCTCATCGTCTCTGACATGCAGCAGAAATTTTTCAAGATCGTCAACGAGGGCGAGGATAATATCGAGATGGTCAGGAAAGTCGAGAAGACGAAGTCAGATGTGCTACAGCAACGCATCGACGCGGCGATGGCGAGTATTCCCGTAGCACTTGAGCGCAAGGTGCCCTTGTTGGCCCGTAAGTCATCGACGTCTGTTGTAGAGGCTGCGCTGTTCTTGTTGAGCCAAAAGGTTCTCGACATCCCTGATGTGGGCGGTATCAACGTGAAGCAGGCGCGGGCGCTTCTGTGGAATGCGTTGTGGCTGCAAGACGTGATGAATCGGGAATGGTCCCTGGACGACCCGTCCGGATCGCAGTGCTCTTCGAGCTCCTCTTTGGCGGACGGCTTTCGGCTCGCGCTCACGGGCCCTGGCGGCACCGGTAAAACTGCGGTGCTCCGCGTTACGGAGGCATTGGTCTCTTATTTTTTGGGAGCCGAATCCGTGCGAAAGTGTGCTCCATCCAACTCGGCGGCCCGGCTCATCGGCGGCGACACCATACACGCTGTGTGTAAGCTCCCGTTCGGGAACATTTCTGTCAGGGACCGGAAAGCCCGCTTGAGCGTTGCTGCGCTGGAGAAGCACAGACAACGCTGGAAGAAAGCTCGCGCGTGCTTCATTGACGAAGTCTCTATGGTCTCCAGTGACCAGCTCCATGCCTCCGAGGTCCGCATCAGGGAAGCGAAGGATGACAGGAAACCCTTCGGGGGCCTCGGTATGATTCTTTCTGGAGACTTTTGCAGTTGCCCCCCGTGGATCCAGGAGACGCGCAGAAGAGTTTAGCGACTCCTCTGAAGGAGACTGGCGCCCTGGACGCGGCCCCTGAGAACCCCGACGCAAAGGATCAGGACGTGAAGCGCAAGAAGCTCGCCGATGCCGCTCAGGGGGTTCAGCTGTGGCAACGGGTACGGCATGTCGTGCGCCTCGACGTGAACATTCGCGCCCCGGGTAAGCTCAGCAAGTTACTCGCGGAGATGCGAGACGGCAAGGGTATCTCTGACGAGTGTTGGCAGATGTACCTGGATCGCATCATGGAGCGCAACGACCAGAGACTTTCCGAGGGGAGTTCTCCTTTCAGTAAATACGAGTGGCAGTTCATTGTTCATCGCCACAAGATCCGCGTGCATCGCTCGCTCGTGAACGCCAAGGCTGCTACGTCTTGTGGGCATAAGCCGCTATTCATCGTACAGGCCAGGGATGAGGCGGTGCATTCGAAAGATGATCGCAAAATGCCCCACGTCAGGGAAGAGCTTTTGCGCAGAGCGTCGCCCCGAGACACTCAAAGCTTGCCAGGCATACTTCCACTGTACGTCGGGATGCGGTTGACGTTCCAGGAGAAGGACGGGGTGTTCTGGAAATGATCCCTGTCCGTGCTCCTTCCTTCTCCTTCTCTCCAGCGGTCTCGTCTTTTTCCGTTCCTTGCACCCTCGTACGGGGGAG